TAAATTTTGTTGTAAAAAAGAGAGGGAAAAAAAAAAAAGAAAAAGAGCTCTAACGGATATAACAGCAAGTGTGTTTGGGGGTGTTAAGTAGCTGACTTTATCAATGTTTTTGGAACATTGAACACAGCTGTTTGCAGTCTCCCTGTTTGAATGTCCACCTTGTGTTCTTTGATACTGTGATTTGAGGAACTATTTTCAAGAAAATAGTGTGTAATCTACTAGCAGGTAATTTCTTACTGTTATGGTTTTTTGTTTTGTTTTGTTTTGTTTTGTTTTGTAGTTCTGTATTGCGTGTACCCTTACGCCGCTTTGGTTTGTTTTGTGTTTCTCTCTTTTTCCTCTTAAATAAAAAAAAAAAAAAAAAGAAAAAAAAATTTACATACTTTTCTTTATCTTTAAATGCCAAACACCAATACTATAGAAGAATTTTCTAACATTCAGAAGTCTTGTTTCTGAAATAGCTCATTATTATTTTCTGGAAAGATTTTTGTTTTTGTATTACCTCTTTTTGAATTAATAAATCATTCTGAAGAATTTGCATACACATATATTCAATTATATCACAGGTAAATTCTTTTTTGGTTGTTTGTTTTTTTGAGATAGAATCTTGCTATGTAGTTCAGGTTGGCTTTGAGCACACTTTGTAGCCCAGGCTGGTCTTTTTCTTTTTTTTTTTTTTTTTTCGTTTTTATTGGTACCAGGGATCGAACTCACGACCGTACACTTGCAAGGCAAGCGCTTATGCCGCTGAGCTAAACCCCAGCCCTACCCAGGCTGGTCTTGAACATGCAATGATCCTTTTGCCTTAGCCTCCAGCATGCTGGGATTATAGTCATGAGCCACAACACCCAGCTTAGAAAGTCAATTCTTGAATTAAATTATCATGAAAAATTCACTTATATGTAAGAATTTAATCATCAAGATACCTTTCTCTTAATATGTGTTAATCCTCAAAAAACACAAAAATAGTGGGGTATTTCTCTGCAGTGTTGCCATGGAGGTGGAGATGTTTTTCTTAGTCAACTCCTTTATCTAAAATTGTTTAATCTTAATTAACTCTGCTTAGAATACCTATTGTCATATATAAGATGATATACATGTTGGTCTATAGTCCAAGACATCTTTTCTACATTTTTTATTAACCCCAGTTAGCATATAGCATTTAATTTTATCTTTTTTCTGAATATTTTTCATACTTTATAATTCCAGGGCCACATATAGTAGATGTTTCTACATGTACTGCATTTTTTTCTCTCTTCTTTAAGTAGCCTCTGCTTATGGGGAAACAAAATTATTTTCACTTGTTTTTCTGTGTGTGTGCATGTGTGCCTCTGTGTGTGTGTGTGTGTGTGTGTGTGTGTGTGTGTGTGTGTGTGTGCATGAAATCCATGCCTGTGTGTATGCCTTGGAAAAGTGTAAATATGCATGTGTCCCTACATTTATGTCTTGATTGTTTCTTTTGAATGTATGCTTCTACTTCCTTGGGTCTAAATAAACAGAAAAACATTATCATCTAGTAAAACTCTATACAATAACCACTTCAGCAGTGTATAATGCCAAAATAAATGAATGCAAAATTATCTTTTTATATAATTGCAAATTCTAAGATAAGGGAAGCCTTAATAACTATGAGACAAGTGCAGTGGCCATTGAATGGTGGCACCTACAACTATTCAATTACCTACGTATTTAAAATCTACAAGCAAGTCTGAGGCTCAATGCTGTGCATAATGGGCCACCAACTTCTCTCTTTTCTACCTATGTGCGGGTGTGTCATAATGTCAAATTAGGAAGAACATTATTTTCAGAAGTCATATCCTTCCACACAGCTCGGACTATGTAGGCCCATTGCCTTTCTTAAAGGTCTCTCATTTCCTTGAAATAAGCAGAAGGGGACAGCAGCCCTGGGTCTACAGTCAGGGCTGTAGCTGGAGCTGGCTCATTTTTAGTCTTCTGCCTTTATTCTAAACAAGGTCCTTACCTTGCACCCAGCTCTGGGCTCCTGTGCCTGAGTTTCCCCAAGAATGTCTCTTACTCTTCCCAGCCTGGATGCCTGCTAGAAGCTGCAGTCCTATCTCCCTGCCTGTTCATCTCCTTCCAGACACGACACTTATTTGCTTGTTTATTCCTCAGAACTATGCTCCTCCAAATGTCAGTACCTAATATAACCACTCGTCTTTTCTAGTAATGGTGTGACTAGGCTGTAATAATTGATCTGCCAATCTCTCTGGATGCCACGGTTTGCCCAGTAGAGTAGACTCCTCTTGGCACTAATAGTCAGGTTCCTTGTCTTTCTAGACCCTGGAGCACCCTTTACCTGCATTGATTTGTAGCAGGTATCCAATCATATCAAATGGCATCCTTGAGTAGGACACATTGTGCCCTGGGCAGCTGTTATCCCTTTTGCTTTCTTTCTTTCTTTTTTTTTTTTTTTTTCATTTAGAAAACTTTAGGTTCTTCCTTTGTATTTTAACTTGTGGTCATGTCACTGAATGAATGATAGTCTAATTGAATATTTGCTATCATAGATATCTGCTTACAATACAAAATTATAAATTAAGTGATGATGTTCACCAAAGATAACTTGATGCAATAAACTTGTAGCTCTTCAGTCTATTGATTCATGTTATTTCTCTTCTTAACCAAACATAAGATTTACATTGTCTTTAGGAAGGATGATGTGAACAGAAAGCAGATACTCTCTTCATGTGGAATAAATGTCTTCAGAATTTACTCTAAAAGAATGACATTGGATATGTCTACAAGAACCATTCCTTCTGAAGTTTTTAACAGAGTTTTGACTAGATATTTTATTATTATAAAATAAATATAATTTAACTCATGTCTTTGTAAAGCTTATCTTAAAATATAAATTAGCAAAATAATCTCTCTTTAAACTATATATTAATATATTAGACCAAACACCTGATTTTCATGATGAAAACAGAAATACTTACTTTTAAGTTTTAATTTTTTCCTCATTAGTCTTTTAAAATGTCACTTTCTCTACTTATCTTTCATTTCTAATATTTTCCTGTGCAAAATAAGTAAGTTGCTTAAATGATGATTCCCCTAGACCTGAGTTTTTCAACCCTGATACTTAACATTTTAGACCAAATAGTTCTTTGACAGGGCTAACCGTAGGATTTTTTTTTTTTTTTGGTGGTATCAGGGATCGAACTTACGACCTCATGCTTGCCAGGCTGGCAGTAAGGCCACTGAGCTAAATTCTCAGCCCTAACCATAGGATGTTTAGTATCACCTTTGATCTCTATTCACTTTTTGCCAGTAGCACACACACCTCTTCCAGTTGTGACAACTAAAAATGTCCTCAAACATTGCCAAATGTCAGCTGGGGATGAGGGTAGTAGATCTTCTGCCTACATGATGGTGGTGATGGTGATGTGACCCTTCTACAAGATTCGAAGCTGAGTCTTTCCACACCCCAGAAGGATTCCGCCTACACATTAATCTGCATTCTTTTACTGAAATTTTGAATTATACCCCTAGATATGACCCATCTCAGTGCCTAAATGGAGTTTTATCTTATTATTACAAACATCATCCATGGCTGATTTAGAAACATTCCAACTGGCTAGTCCTTCTGCATTTTGAAAAAAAATGACGATATTAATTGACGGGGTATTACTGAGCATAAAATACACTTAATATAAATTATTTTACCTTTTATGTAATCACCTTTTATGTATATTACATTTATATATTTCTGTATTTTTGAAGGCTCATGCGGTGATTTACTTTTAAACAATAATTTTCTAATACTAGTATTGCTTTTATATAAATTTAGGCATTTTAAATTACACACATCTTTGCCATAGTATTGTGTCAATGAATTTGGTACCTCTCAAATCTGAATTTGAATTTGGATTTAGGAGCTGACAGGTATCTAAAATACCAGTATTAGTTTTCTTATCTACAAAAGAAGGAAGAGCTGGTACACTTAAGAATCCAAGAAGTATTTATGGTGTCTATGAAACTGAACATTAAATAGCAAAAGATAAAAATGATTAGCATAATAACTCAATACATATTTGTGAAATTAAAGTAGGAAGCTGACCCAACATGAACTAAATTGTATTCATTCAGCAAATCATATCCTACACTCTCTGTGCTCAGTCCCTTTTAACAATCTATTCTAGTAGTTTCAGGTGTGATAGTTTCAAATTTTAACCAGTGGTTAGCCTTGGAAGCCTAGATTATTTCTCACCTTGAGAACTGCTGCAGAGCAGAGTTGGAAGGACTCATTAAATACTTGTTTACTAATCAAGGGCTAAAGAAGTTTGAGGACATTCAATTCTCTGTAACTCTAATGTTCATTTTAAACAAGCTTGACCAAGTGACACCAGAAGTGGACCTGAGAAGCTCTAGATTCAAGACCTCAGCCATGATAAAACAAGAATAAACACTGAAAGTAAGAGTTAACACTCATGTAATGAATATCACCGAAAGCTTTCTCTGTGCTAGACAGTGTGCAAAGTACTGTATCTGAGTGTGCGGAATGCTTTACAATTTTTATTTTATTTAATCTCAAGGCAATCCTATGGCTGTGTTGTGGACCATGTCTATATTTTATAGTTCAGATCCAGAGAGATTAAATGTCCCATGCAAGATTACACAGTTAAATGAATTTAAGACCTAGAACTTGTCAGACCAAACAGGAGATAAGGCAGGTGCATTCATGGTTACAACCTTGGACGTATGAATATACTGTGTCATACCTTTGTTTTCCCTTCTGTAAAATGAAGATCACTCATAAAATTTATGTTCCTTACTTTGAAAGGTGATTAGAGCATCAAGTAAGAAGAAACTTAGGAGGCTATACTGTAAACAAAGCATCCTAAAAATATTTCCCATGATTTAAGGTGGAATTTTATGCTCGGAAATCTCACACTCAGGAAGGAAGACAAGCCTTATCCCTAAGGTGGTGATGGTGTCACTGGTGCATCTGCCTCGCTGTCATTGCAGAGGAAAACACTTACAGAGCACAGCTCCCTCACGATCCTGTCCTGAAGGACTCTCAAGGTCTTCATGAACTTTGCTTCCAGGTGCTCTGCATGTGAACACAGCCAGCGTCTGCCCACAGAGGGTGCAGGACCAGTTCTTGATCTCTCCTCACAACTGTGGAAATGGTGATGGCAGCACATACAGCAGTGAGTGGGTGTGGTGGGGCAAGTGCCCACTGGGTCAATACTAGGAAAACTTGTGTCCAGAGAGACTGACCTGGTGAGGGGCTGGGGTCCATGAGTGAAGCTTTTGTTACCTGGAGATACACAGCAATGGTAGGGCTCAGATTCACATGTGTAAGTCTGAACAGAAACATCACTGACCTGTCTTGCTTCTGTTCCCTGTCTCACTTTTGTTGTAGTCATAGGGTCACACAAAGTACATTCTATATCTGTTCTGTAATCCATTCCCAAGGCCACAACACTCTGAGCAGCTGACACCAGATTGGAGGACATCTGGGTTGTCACAGACCTGGCGCAGCCAGCGCTTGTGTCTGTGGCAGCGTCCCCAGCTAGCTTATTGAGGTGATAAATAGACTTGTCAGGTGCTTGACCAAGGTCAGTTATATAGGGTGTGACTTCTCTGGGCCTGGGAATGTGTTGTGGTGGTCTGTGCTGTGCCAGCAAAGAGTTGCTGATGTCAGGATGGAGTTTGCTGCTCTCTTCTTCTCTTGGCACATCCGGGTCCTTTTGAGGGAACCTGTCTTGAGTCTGATCAATTCCACATGACCTCTGAGACTCACAGTGGCACATCTGCATGAGTACTGCCCCATCTCCCTCCGTCCTCAGAGATCCTTCCTTTTCTTCTGTGATGTGAGTCATGGTAGACCCCAGAGGGCCATCAAATGTAGAAATGGCTGTGGCTCCATCCCTATCATATTCAGCATCATGTGTTGTTAAGGGCTGCTGCAGATGGCTGTCTTTCCGTTGGTGTTCTCCCCAAGTGTGGGTCTTGGCAAGGGCCATATCAGGGACCAACAGCTCTGGTGGCTCCTCTGTGGCCTCAAGCTGAGGCTCTTCCTTCACCTCAGATGCTGAGGCCTTTTCATCCAAGACACTCCAGTCTTGGCTTGAAAAAGAGAAGCTCTCCATGCTCTTGGAAGCAGACCCTTTGGACTGTGGCTGACAGTCCTGGGATGACACTGAGCTGTGGCTCTGATCCCAAGGCTTTCTATCTCCATTCTCAGTAGGACTCTGGCTGCTTGGCAGGGAAGGCATCTGCAGTAGAAACCAGAGAAAAAGCACATGAGTCAAGAAGTGGGGGAAGCAATAAGTATAAGGCAATAAATATCACTATTGTTTCAGTAGTCAGGGCATAAAGGTTACAAACTCAAAATTCGAGTTTCTCTATCTGTTGACTATTTCATCTAGCTTCTCTTCTCTATGAGCCTTACTTTCTTTGTTCATAAAAATCAAAAGAAAATAAAAATGAAAGGAAGACTTTATGTTTCTGGCACCTTTTGTTTTGGAATTCCATCACCACCTCCCCACTGATTGCAAGTCGTAAGTCTTGAAATCTTTTTTACTGTGGTAGGCACTTAGAGTTTCTCCTTCCTTCTGAGTCAGTTAGGTTGGGAGAGTGGCTGTGAGAGTGGCAGTGGGGCCTGTGGGGTGAGCAGTCAGGGTCCTGTTCCCACTCCTCCTACCTGGAGAGGAAGAGGTTCCACTGGCTCCTCCAGAAACCCGCTGCTGTCAGACTGACAGCTGTTGGCTCTGTCCACTCTGATGCCTGTAGGAAAAGAGAAAGTTGTGATTAGTAAGGTGCAAACATGCTACCAAGAGCATAGGATGGTCAGGGATGAGACCTGCTATGTGCCTGGCATGTCAGAGATCTTTCATAAATGCCAAGGACAATAGAGGAAGAAATTCCAAAGATATTTTTTTTTCCTCAGAGATTTTGTGGAAAACTACTCTGATACAAAGAGTAAAATAGGGACTGAAAAAGGAAGAACTAACTTATTTGAAAACTAAATAGCCTTATAGTTTTGAATTGAACCTTTACTGGGGGAAAAATCCAGGAGACACACACTCCTTAATAAAACAATAAAAGACCACAATGTATGTACTTTTTTTTTTTTTTTTTTTTTTTTTTGCATGTTGGGAATCACGTTTAAGACTATGTGCTTGCCAGGCAGGTGCTTATACTGCTGAGCTCCAGCCCTCTTTTATTAAGTTTTGAGTAAGAACACTTTGCTGCCTTTTGCTGGACTATAGCTATAGGACAAGTTTGCACTCATGGTTAGACTAAGGCTGCTGTCACAGGGAAAAAGCAGCATAAAGCATTGGCAGGTAGTGATTTGAAAACATACACACTTGAGATTTTAAATCTACTTGTAGATTCTGCTCTAAGCATTGTGCTACATTATTATGTGAAGAGAGGAAAAGGTGGCTAAACGTCACTGTGCTAAAAGTTAAATGCTTTCATTTGTACTATAGCATAGACTAGAATAGGAAATCTCTTTGGAGGAGGTGGTTGGGTCACCTTAGAATAAACAGAGCAGAGGAAAGACACTTGTTTATGCTGGAGCAAAACACTGAGCATGAATGCAAAAAGCCACATGTTGGTGGGTGTAGTGCTCACATAAAGAGAAATGAGGGAGTTGTTTTTATTTGGAAGATGAGCTGCTAACGAAGACTTCACAGAGGCCAAGAGAGCGCAGCTGCTGCTTAGGTGTTCTAGACCTGGCCTTGAAGAATTAGTTGCTCCTGACAGCAGTACCTGGTCTTGTAGGGCAGTTTTAAGTTTCTAAAATTAAGACATATGGACCTCATCAGATTCCTTAATTTGGTCGCAAAAAACTTAAAAGTTAAAAATCAAGGAATATGAGATTTTAATATCTGAATCCAGGTGAGATTGTGGAACATCGAGCAAACTTTAGATACCAACGTCCTTGAGCAAGTTATTGATTTTGTTACATTGGTAAAACTTAAATATGGAAAATATTTAATAATTGTGAACCTAAATGAGACTTCTGCTTTTGACTGAAACTGGAGTGATGGGGACTAGATTTTTCTTCCTCCCACTTGAAACGACTAAATTTTGGAAAATATATGTGAATTTTAAGACAAACAAAGGTCATGCTTATCAAGACAATGGAAATTTTGCAGTTGCTTGGAGTTGATAGTCCATAGAATAGGGATAGGGAATCCAGCAGAGTCTGGAACACTCCTTAAATTAAGGAAACAGAGCTAAGGATCTGAGAAGGGCGAGTCATCTGAAGTTCACAGAAGCAGGAGAAAGCCACATGGAGACAACTCCCAAGGTTCTTCTTGAGTCTTCTTCTGAGTATTAATCAGGTCATGCACGTAAGAAAACACCAAAATTTGAAGAAAGAACCACCTGAAAGGATTGAAGGAAACTTCCCAACACTCACCCCAGACCTGGGACTAGGCATGTTCTTGCCTTTCAGACTGGAAAACCTCACTATTCATATAGTACAGGTTTGAGTAGAGTACTCCAGTGTGTCTTGACTCAGAAGTGAAGAGTAATTAGTCCTAAAATGAACACTGTTCAGATCCCACCTAACATGCCTTAAATACAAAACTGTTCCCAGGTAACTGAAACACGTCCCAGATCTGAACACAAGACTATTTATACGAGTATACTAACATTTTAATATTCAACACATAAATCCACACTTTTTGGCATCTAATAAATGATATCAGGCACGTAAGGAGGGGGGAGATTGTGACACATATTAGGGAGAGAAACCAATTGATTGAAACTATTCTAGAACTGACACAGATGTTAGAATGGACAGACAAGGATAGTAAATGTTTATTGTCACTATATTCTATATGTCTAAGAAGCTAAAGGAAAAATGAAACCTCCTGTTGGAATTGAAATTGTAGGAAGAAAAACTGTAGTGTCTCTGGTCAAGTGTATAATGGATGGGATTTACAGGAGATTGTAGATTATGTAAGAAGAGATTAATAAACTGAAGACACAGTGATAGAAAACACAGAAGGGAAAAATAATTTAATTAATGCAAAGCTCATCAGTGAACTGCAGGACAATTCCAATTAGTATTGTATATAATGGGGAAATCCCAGAGAGCATGGGAGCATGTGAAGAAATATTTCAAAGAAAAGAAAGTTGTTTTCAAATGCCCAACAAATCTCAAACATGGAAAGCACAAAGAAAATTATGCCAAGGTATGTTAAAACTAAATGATCTGGCACAAATGATATAAAGAAGAATCTTAAAAATCAACCAGAGAAAAAAGACATTAAATAAAGTTAACAAAGGCAACAATGATAGCAAATATTTCATTGGAAATAATGCAAGACAGAATGTAGTTAACTAATATCTCTGGAGTACTGAATGAGAAAATTATGTAGGGAAACATTACAAATATTTTTATATTATAAAGATTATGTTAATTATCTGCTTTCAAAAGAAAATTAACTTTTGAAATAAATCAGATAACAATGTCGTTTGACATTCATAACAAAGAGTCAGAAGAAGTGTTACGATAACACGTGTCATTATGCAATGAATATTTTCTATGGCAGGAGATGCTTAAGAGGCATTCTTTATAATATGCAACTTTATAGAGTTTTTAACCTGGGTAAAAAAGTGTGGTATTTTTATACAATGGAGTACTACTCAGCTATAAAGAATGACCACATTGAGATATTTATAAATAAATGGACGCAACTTGAGACCATGCTCATAAGTGAAATAAATCAAACTCACATGTATAAATACCATATAGCCTCCCTAGTGTAAGAAATGGTAAGAATACATAAGATTTTATGGTAATCATGATTCCCCATTAAATTGCTTTGAAGCCTTGTAATATTTTCATTCATCGATTGGAATAGTTTTATTCTGTACTGTTTGATTTTATTATGTGTGATGGTATGAACAGCTATTTTGAAGAAAACAAGACATTACGACAGCCATTGCTGATTTAGTATCATCTTGCTTTGAAGTCCTACCATGCTTTTGTTCTTCTGTTTCCATTGGTTCTATCATGTTGTATCTTATTGGATTTTAATATGTTTGAGAGTATAAACAATTTTTTATGGAAAATGATATAATATAGTAGGCATTGTTCATTTCTGTTATTTGGTTCTGAATGCCCTGCAATACTTTCATTGTCTTGAATCATTTTATACTATTTTGTTATGTTTGATACTATTGTATGTGAAGGTATGCTCAGCTATTTCAAAGAAAGAGACATTATGGTAGCTACTGCTAATATTGGGTTGTCTTGTGGTGCTTACATAATTCTGTTCTGATCTGCTTTGTTCTGTCCTTGTTTGTCTCAGTCTCTTTAAAATAAATAAAAGCTCTGTAGAACTCTCATTTACTTAGTGTCAGAGTAATTAATGGCTAGTTATATATTTGTTGTAGAATATCTACTTGTATTACATTTAATTCATATATTGTATTTAAAACTTTTTATCTCCAATGCTGGAACTAACCCAGGGGCTTCTGCCTGCCAGACAAATGCTCTGCCACTGAGATTTACCCCCTACCCCTGACTTCTCTGTTCTTGTTATAATTAACTGAATAGTACTGGAATTGTTTAGGATTAGAAAAAGCATCACCTATTTGTTACCTACATTTAAAAATGAGTGATTATATTACTAACATTTCACACCTCAATGAATTATTATTATTATTATTATTATTATTATTATTATTATTGTTATTATTTTGTAGCCTGAAGCCCCATCCTATACTATAACTTTAGGGAATTCAAAAATAATAGGAGGCTCAAATCTTGGTGGACTATGGGTAAGACGGACCCCGGAACCTTATACTCTTTCTATAAAGGATCCCAGTACAACATTATTACTTCCACTTCCCAGATAAGTAATTACAATTCTGAAGTGTAAGGGTAGGATATGAAGGCTGCTATTCTCTTTCTTACAATGTGAAATTATATATCATAACACTAGGACAAAATGCTACACTACAGCCTATTTATCTATGTGTTCACTGGCCCCTAAGTTGGTCCAAATGGAAATACAGTAACCCCCTGCTTTTTTGAGGTGACAGTTCTCTCCTCATACCAAAATCTTTGATTGCTCCAATCCCTTGCATAAAATGGCCTAGTGTTTGCAAATATAATGTAAGTGCTATTAAGCAGTTATACTATATTATTTAGGGAATAATGGCCAGAAAAAAGCCTGTGTCTGGTCAGTAGAGATGCATTTTACCCCTTGAGGTATGGATGCAGAGCTCTTGGGTATGGAGACCAGAAAACATAAAGGGTTTCTAAAAGGTAGAAAGTAAATTTCTCTATAATGGGTATATTTGTGACATAAATTGTTACCTTTAATTAAATGGGTATTTTTTATTAATTGTTTAAAACAAACAAACAGATCTCTGAAACTCACTCAAATGAATTTGTGAAATTACTAGACTTTGAGTACCTCATTTTGGTGAGTACAATCAAATGGGAGACTGTAATATGTTCCTCTTAGGAGTAGAAGCTTTTATTTTATGTTGGATTGCTTTAGCATATATCTGAATTATTTCTGAGATAGTCGCCATTTGAAACGTGAGCCAGCTTACCAATGGGTTATTTTTATCTTTTCTTTTTTTTTTTTTTTTTTTTTTTTTTGGTATGCGGGATCGAACTCACGACTGTGCAAGGCAGGTGCTTATGCCGCTGAGCTAAATCACCAGCCCCTGGTTTGGTCTTTTCAGGTGGCTAAAAATCCTTGCTCTTGTAAAGCATCTTTTAAGGACTTAGACTACAGACATCGAGA